TGGAGTATAGGGGTGTATAGGGGTGGTATAGGGGGTATCCGGGGGCCCCGGGTGGTAATGAGGGTGTTGGGGGCGGTTTGGGGGCGGTTTGGAAGCGGTTTGGGGGCGGTTTGGAAGCGGTTTGGGGGGGTGTATGGGGGTATTGGCGGACGCTATGGGGGTGTTGGATGTGTTATTGGGGGTTATGGACCCCCCAAAATTTTATTTTATTTTATTTTATTTTTATTTTTTATTTTTTATTTTTTTTTGCGGGGTGCCGACGGCCCCCGACCAGTAGGTGCCGACCAGCCGATCGGTCGGCGGGTTGGGCAGCCGACCAGTCAAGGGCAGCCGACCGTCGGGGGGTGCAACAATAATCACAACCAAAAAAAAAAAAAAAAAAAAAAAAATTGAGCCTGAAGTTAACCTAGACATCCGTACTTCTCAGCTACTTTGTAACAGTTCCATTTGCTAAGACAGCGCATATGCTTTTACAGCTTTGCAGTACTATGAAGTCATGAACCACATTATAGTATAATACACATATTGCATTGCATAATAGCATATCCTGTACAATGGAACACTTGGATAACTGTGTGAAGGAGATAAGTTTTCACTGTAGAACAGGGTGAATGTGAAGGAAGGAAGAGAGTAAAGCGGGTTAGTTCATGGCTTCGGGTCTTTCTGAGAAAGAAGAGAAAACCTGATGAAGATTCCTGTCTTTGAATCCATCCAGGAAGTCCAATATTCCTGCAGGATAACAGCCACATGCACATAAGAAAAATTAGGGCCTGTGAACTGTAGAAATCCGCATCGTCATCACTATCACCAAGAATGCTTTCAATAAAAAGGGTTCTATAACTTCTATTGTCATTCCTGCTCCTGAGCCTCCACCACTTCTTCTTCTTCTTCTTCTTCTTCTTCTTCTTCTTCTTCTTATTATTATTATTATTATTATTATTTATTCAAGGCTACCAGAGTGGCCCGGGGTCACTTGCCCGGCCGGGCCAAAAAAAATAAAAATAAATAAAAATAAATAAAAATAAAAAAATATTTTTAAATTTTATTTTTTATTTTAAATTTGGTGAAGAATTTCGATGTAACCCTGAGGCAAAAGTTGTTCAGTTTATTTTTCTGCATAACATAGTTTTTTTTTGGATTTTTTAGATTTTTTTTTTTTTTTTTAAGGACCTTCCTTGGTCCTTGCACGGGCTGGCCCGGGACCCGGGCGGCCCGGCTGGTAGCCTAGTATTTATTGTTATTATTATTATTATTGTTATTATTATTATTGTTGTTGTTGTTGTTGTTGTTATTGTTCTCGTTGTTGTTGTTGTTGTTGTTGTTGTTGTTGTCCTCTTCCTTTTTTATCTAGTGGAAAGTTTCCAATGTGGCAGGGTGGAGCAATTCAAAGCAGAGAGAGAGGCAGTTGAGATCTAGCCCTTCCATCCTCATCAGCAGCATCAGCATCATGATAATAAACCTGGCTTTTACTCTTGTTCAATTCGCTCTTATAATCCTCCGTTGCCTTCATCTTCATCATCTCCCTCTTCAATCACAATTGTAAACAAGCAACCATTAACATCATTAACCATCGTCAACCATCATCACCATCATCAATCATCATCAAGCCAGGAATCATCCCTCCTCCTCCCACCCATACCTGGACACCCCAGAAAAGCTGGGAAACCAGAATTTCCAAGCAGCAGGACCACTTACGGAGGAGGCCGCTTCCAGGTTTCCAAAATCGCCCCTTGCTCAGGCAGAAGCAAGTGGTAGGCAAATCGCTGCCCGCTGGCCCCTGAGTAGTCCTGTGGCATTCTGAGCCACACGGGCCCCAGTTAGGGCCTGGTTCCAGATAGGCAGGGTAGGCCTAAGGGGACAACGGTTCAGATGAGGCCCAGGTAGGCCAGGGGTACGGCGGTTCAGGCAGGCCAGGGGTAGAGGCCCAGGCCAACGGCCACAAGGCCGGTACCGGTCCAGCATAGGACCTACCGGCGGCGCAAGTGCAGAGGCTGCCGCGTTTAGGCRCCAAGTCCAGTTTTGAATCTGGACCGTTGATCAGATCAACGGTCCAGGCCGGTAGGTACCAGCAGGTRGGAGGCCAGCCYGGCACTACAAAAGGCTGGGTACCAGCCTCRGTAGGGAGGTTAGTAGCGAGGAGGTTAGTCTTCAGGATTAGTGCAGAGCTTCAGCGTTAGCAGGATTAGCGCAGTGCAGCAGCGTTAGTAGGAACAGCGAGGARGGATCAGCACCRCGGCGAGGAGGAACCAGCRCAGCAGGAACAGCGCCAGCCACCGGCCCAGCCCGCGGCCCAGCGCCAGCCTCCTGCAGCGCCATAGCTACCGGGACAGGTACCAGGGAGAAAGGCCTCGCCTTTTCTCCCTCTTCCTCCTCCGCCACTCTCTCTCTCTCTCTCTCTCTCTCTCTCTCTCTCTCTCTCTCTCTCTCTCTCTCTCTCTCTCCCCCTACCTTCTAAGTCTAAGTCTACTCCTGGTTACTCCTACGGAACTGCTAGAGTATGAA